GCAATCAATGTAAATTCAATTTCAATATTCAGATTTATAGATGAATTTTTTGACAAAAATTTGTGATTGTGGTTATTGTTATGGTTGTAGTTGTTGAAATTGACTATCATGTTATAGGCTAGTACCGAAGCTAAGAACTTTTATTTAAGGCAATAATTGGGACTCTAGTAGGAAATTATACAGTCATAACACCCTAACACTTAGAAGATACGAGTTCAACCAAGAGAAGGAAGAAATCGTCAAAAGCTAAGCAAATGAAGGATAGTAACGAGTGATAGATAGTAGAGTTAAAAGGGTTCAACATGTATTGGAAATAACACAAGATAGAAGAAAAAATCTAGATTGGCTGATAGTAGGAGACAAATTTCTAATGCTAGACAATGAATATACAAAAAATTGTGTTGTGTGTAGGTAAACTTTTGATTACAACTTCTTAATTTTAGTTTTGTATTATCAATTAGGCTAACGAGCTCTTTTTCTTTTTCTTTTTTTTTTTTTAGTATAGTTATATGTTGGACAATGAATATACAAAAAAAAAAAAAATTTGTTGTGTGTAGGTAAACTTTTGATTACAACTTCTTATTTTGAGTTTTGTATTAGCAATTAGACTAATGAGTTTATATATATATAGCTATAGATATAGCTATTAACCATGAGTGTAGCTTTGCATATTATGCATGACTCGTATATTTGAAAATACTAATGGCCATCAATATATAATTTTTTTAACATGATTTTTATTCTCTTGTTTGGAAGGAATTTTATTGTTCAAGATATTATTTTATATTAACATAAGTGTTTCATGAATAGCCAACTAGCAGGTTCAATGTTAATTGTTGAATGGAATGCTTTTAACTAATAATTCAAAACAATTTCTTTTTTATTGACCTCATAGTAGATATACAACCTAATTAAATTTTAATCAACTTAATCAAATCTCAAACAAGCATGATACAAATTCCATCAAATCCATACATATGCCCCCTCTTTGTTTCTCAAGAAAAACCAAGCGGACATAATGCCCCTCTTTGTTTCTCTAGCAAACCTAAACATACCACATTCATTAACCCACTTCATAAACCCTATGAACACCAAATTTTTAACCCCTATCTAATTTTTAAATTTTTGAGTTAAAAGAAAATAATAAAAAAATAGAGAAAAAGGAAAAAAAGGCAATTATTTGGAAAAAAATGATTTAGGGGTTCAATTAAAAAAAAACGAAGTGTAGGGTTCAAAAAACCCTAATTATTGGTGCAATTAAAAGGATTAAGACCTAAGATTTTAATTGAAAGAAGAGAATAGTACTATTGAGGAAAAAAAACAAACAAATCAACACTAAAATTAAAAATTAGGAGAAACCAAGGATAAAAATTAATTTTTACCCAAACCCCTAATTTGTTTCCTAGAAATACCCAATGCTTTTAGCCATTTAAGCTGGAGATGATCCCAAAGAAAGAAAGACCTTAAAAACCAAGAAAAATATACCAAACACATCCTTACCCATCTACTAGACACATGGGTTGATTCGTATACCAACCAAAGTTTCTCACCCAAAGTAGCCACCCTTTAATAAATATCGCCTCTAGCCACCATTACCAATCGGTAGCCTAACCCCAAATCAACCTATGCTACCTAGTAAAGAAAAAGGAGACGTCGAAGGAGGTTAAAATGGAAAGAAAGCCAACAACCCGACCCTATTTAAGGACCCAACTAATTCTCCCAATTTTGACCAAACCACTACCTTCTACCATTAGAAAAACACTCTTTACCCTCCTAAAAGGTGTTTTCCCTTAAAACCATAACTCAATGTCGCCAAAATATGTCAAAGCAATGCCAAGCATCCATCCTAACCCTTTTAACATAACCTAACTAAATCAAAACTCCTAACCACCATAGAAATACACCCCATAATCTTCCGAGTTGATTGGTATCCTTCGTTGCCTCATTATGACTAGAAAAGTTGTCGGAGAAGAAACCTAAAAGTTCTAACCATCATCAATCTCTCTACACTAGCCACCGTGGTCGGCACCATCTACACTAGTCAATAGAGGAGCTCTAGATGATCCTTCTCTAAACAAAAATCTGCTCGAAGGTGGTCAAAAGATGGTCATGGATGATGGCAATAACTCTTATAGTTAACGAGGTAGTTTCATTATTTTAGCCTCTAAAGGTACTTTGGTAATTTTACCCCGGATGTATTTTGGTCATTTCACCTTCAAGGATATTTTGATCATTTCATAATAGCCTTTCCGATGCTTCAATGGGCGGTTACTTTCCTTCCCTAGTTAATTGAGTAATTAGTTTTGATCGGGGTTGAAGAAAGCATAATTGACCCCGAATAGTACTCGAAAAATTTTATCATTTTCCAACCATCATCTTGGGTAACTTTCAAAAAATATTTATCTTAAAATGATGTAATTGGTAGGCCTTAATAAATAAATTAAAAATACATATTGGTTATGATTGTTGAAATTTTAAGTGTGATTGGATACATCAAACCGTAACGGGTTAAAAACCTCGAGTATTGTTGAGATAAAATAAGATAAATTATTCAATACCGTAGATGGAGCTAGAAGCAATAGCTTGAATTTTTAATTTCAATGATGGATCCGAGGCAAATGTCAATATTGATATTTGCATTTAAAGGTGATGTCTATGTTTGTACTAAATGATGTGATTATCTGTTTTATACGTGAATGAAAGGATGCCGATAGTGGCTTTTCACTTGTGTGGATGAAGTTGTTATTGGGTTTTCAATATTTTTTAAATGATTTGTTATTCTATGGTCCGAAGTTGGTGATGGCTTCCCATTTACATGGACGAACCTACTAGTGGCTTTTAAACTTTTTTTAAATGATTTATCATTATATAGTCCAAAGCTAGCAGTGGCTTCCCGTTTGTATAGATGAAGCTACTAAGTGGCTTCCAAACCTTTTTTAAATGATCCATTGTTACATTGTTTGAAATCAATAATGGTTTCTCACTTATGTGTTGAAGCTACTTGTGGCTTCCAAATAAATTTTTTTGTTTCTTGTCTACTTGAAATGAAGTTGTCAATGGCATCCCACGTATGTGGATGAAGCTATTAGTGGCTTCCAAGTTAATTTACTTGCTTTATGTTCATTTAAAATGAAGTCGTCAATGACTTTTCACTTATGAGATGAAGGTGCTAGTGGCTTTAAAGTCATTTTACTTAATTTTTGCTCGTCTAAAAAGAAACTATTGATGGCTTCCCTCCTATATGGATGAAGCCACCAATGGGTTTCAAATCAATTTACTTTCTTTTGTTCATTTGAAATGAAGTTGTTAATGGCTTTCCACTTATGTGAAGAAGTTTTTAGTAGCTTTTAAATCTGTTATCTACTCTTTGCTTGAGATAAATGGAGTTGTTGATGGCTTCCCACTTATGTGACAAAGTTATTAATAACTTTCTAAACTCATAATTTGAAGTCAATGATGGCTTCCAACCTCGTTTAAATGAAGTTTTCAGTGACTTTCGATCTATGTCAATAAAGGCTCTCAATCTTTAGAAACTCACTTATTTATCCGTATAAGTTTGTATTCATTAAAGACTAGTTGAAATTCTAATCTTCTCCACCTTTACCCTTTGAGTATGGATGTGACACCCCTAGCTCCCTTACTAATTATCTAAGAGGTATGGCTAGGTACGAGTACGGTTTAGAGACTATAGTCTCAATTTACTCCTATAAGATATGGCCAATAAATAATAACATATGAAATATAAAGTATGTACAATAAAATTTACACAACTTTAATGAATACTATTACAAAAGTTCACAAATATCTAAGGTGTTATTTACACATTGCTAGATATCGTACCTTATGTTACAATCAAAAGAGATTTTTATGTTTTTTATGTTACACATGAGCCTTTTTCCGGGAGGAATTGACGGTTTCTTTATCAGCACTACCATCACCTTGACTCGTCATGGCATGAAATAACAATAGGGTGAGCCAAAGCTCAATAAGTAAGGTGATGCACGTGATATGCAATGCTTTCCTATTATTTTTCCCGTACCCATCAATTTTAGTTCGCATACCTTAGGTATTAGTAAGTCTCGCTCTATTCCCATCTCTCAATGATTACCAAATCACCTAATGCTAGCAATAGAATTATACCACATTGTAGCACATGATTAATGAAATTATCCATTGCTTAATGATGTAATCAATTAATAGAGCATGCACACAGCCTTCATTGCTAATACCCATTTAATCTAGTTGGGCTACCAAACTCCGTCCAATTTCGAACCAATTTGGTTACCAAACCTCATCATTTTTTGACTCAATGTTTTTCTCAAGTCGAGTCTACCCCTAAATGCATATGATGCATATGATGTTCATTTTTCACATTCCACTAATCATGGGTACAAAACCCATCATTTTCATACCACATTCAAAATCTAATCCATGCTTGGGATTTTATACATTTTTCATCGTAATCACGCAATGAATACAAATCATTTCCTATATGTTAATCCTAGGAATGCATTTCGAGTGCATTTAACATGGGATTTTACTCCTAACCCAAAATTTAGCCTTACTAGCCAAAGTTAGCTTCTAACAAGTCTAGGTCCCAATTGCGATAATTCTCAAGTTGGATGAGTGGAACCGAATCCCAAATTTTTGGCTTTAAGCCGAATGGGTCCTAAAAAGGGCAAAAGATTTTCTTTTATCCTATGTAATTTCTTTTCATCCTAACTTCTTAATCTATATTTAATTGAATTACTATTGAGTTCTAGATCTTTAGTTACATAAAATCAATCCAAACTTTGGCCATTTTAGTACTTAGGCCGAATGAGTTCCTTAAGGATGCTCTAAAAATTTCCATCATGGGTAAATCCATCCAAGCTTTAGTCTAAGCCCATTTGTTTTAACCAAACCCATCAAAGATCCATGAGTTTGGATCTATCCCTCCAATGGTTGGGAGCTCCAGCTTTCTTGAGAATTTATCTCTATCCCAAACTTTCTCAGCTCCGATGACCACCTCCATAGTAGCGATGTTTTCCAAAGTATATTCCGGGGTCATTGTTACCCCTATTCTAGCACAACTTACTTCAGTCGATCACCCCCGCTCCTTGTTGTTTAGAGAAAAGCTAGTAGATTTCTTCCAAGCATTGAACAACAAGTGGCCATGGAAGTCTTCGGATCAACCACATCTTCTTTTAGAATGGGTAAGCACTTAATCTCAGCCTCAACTTATTCCAATCGAGCCTCCATTCATGTAGTAGGCATTTCCCACAAGAATTAGTCACTCGATACCAAATTGATAAGAACCCACAACTAAACAAAGAAGAAATAGAAAAAGGAATGGCGAGAAAAATGTAGAGAATGAGAAATGATGAATAATATTGATTTTTTATTGATGTAAGATGCCCGATGTGTCCTCTATTATAGTGGCGTAAGGAAAGAAAAAGATAATGACAGCTATTCTAGAGGCTACCTCCCTCTCACTCTCTCAACAGAGAATATTTTCATAACAAACTCATGCCCCACACACCCCACATTATCCCTTATATATAATAAAGTACCTATGTGTAACAAACTCGATCAAGTCATCACTCAAGGCATTTTGTCATCGCACTTGGCCCAACAAACTTCCTTTATTTGGTGGTGATAATATCTCTCTTTCCTTTTCTTGTATAGACCATACACACTTGGAGGCTTATTAGAAATTCAACTCGTTTAACTTATTTGAGGCTCTTTTATTGCTCGATCGGTTGGAAAATATTAAGGATGCTCGCAGTTAGTCGGAAGAATGGAATTGATTATGGAGTTGTTGTAACTAACTTCTTTCATGATAAGATGGATGGAACATCATCTTCTAAAACTATAAAAGGATTGGCTAAAGATATCTCTTGTGCTATGATTAAGGTCAATCTTCCACCTATGGTAAATGATATTAAAGCTCTCCAAGGAAGACTAGATTGTCTGCTAGTGAAGTGAGTTCCATATTGCAACAATTAAAAAAAGAGAATAAAAAACAAGGGAGGAAAAGTAAGAAGAATAGCAATAATGCTCAACATTATAAGTCTATCAAAGATAGTTGAGAGTGAAGTTTTTCCCACTCATCCTCCAAATGGTTATTATTCTTATCCGGAATATTAGAGGATTCAATCATCTTCATAAGCACAATGAGGTCGATAGATTGTGTTTTAAGCTTAAAGTTGATATTCTATGCTTAAGTGAAACACGGGTAACATTTCCAAATCCGAGGTTATAATTGATAAATTTGATGATTGGGAGTGGTGTCATAACTATAAATTTTCTCAACTAGGCGAGACTTTGGATTTTTTGGAAGAACCATATTAATCTTTTTGTTCTTAGTAAGCATAGTCAATTTGTTCATTTTCGGATATTTGATGTATCAAATAGCTATATTTGTCACTATACTTTTGTATATGGCTCTTACATTTTATATGAGAGGAACAAGCTTTATAAAGAATTAAAGGTTCTTAGTGCCAACCTACAACAGTCTCCATCGGTCTTAATAGACTTTTTCAATAATAAAAAAGGCCCTCAAGAGACTACATCGAAGCTAATTATTCTATAAAAGAAATGGAGGATTTTGATAATCTGCTTAAGTTGTTAGAAATTCATGAAAGGATAGTTTTTATGATTGGGTTTGCGGAGAAGCATTTATGGGTAGCTTCGGGTAACTTGAAGATTGGCTAAAGGTCATTTGAAGATTGCCTAAGTTTCTACGGAATTCTTAAAGATTGATCGAAGTCAAGGGCACGTGAGCTCATTAAAAGTCACGTAAAAGACAAGGATAGCTATTAGTTAGTTAGCTAATGTGGCGGCAGTTAGTCGATTAGTTAGTCCATGTGGCCGATCATTTAGAGCTTACAACAAACACAACTACTATTAAGATCAATGAGAAGAGATTGGAGGAGTAGACTTAACATTCTTTTGGAAAACTCTACATATTTCTCTCTATATTTCTCTTCTCTCTACTTCTTTTTTGTTTCTAATTTCTTCTTCTTTCTTTCATGGTTTTCAATTGTAATCCATTGATTTCTTGCATTGTAAAGGTTTTCATCATTGAATATACAGTATTGTGTTTGAAAGAGTTTTTGAATCGGAAGATACATTCGATTGTTCTTCATTTGAAAGTAGTTTGTATCAAGTGGTATCAAAGCAAATCTTGGCACTCGTGAGCTAAAATCGGTAGAATCATGGAAAAAACGAATGTGGAGTTAAAAAAGCTTGAAGAGGCAATGGTTCAAATATCTCGGGTACTTTTCAATGTTAATGATAAGTGTTCTAATTTGATGATTATGTGTAAAAAGCATGAGGCTGAACTTGTATCTTTTAGGGAATCACGTAAAGAACCTAGAGGTTTGAATGGCTTAGAAGAAGGAATGCATCATAGCAATAGCTTGAATCCGGGCTTGAATGATAATGTAAAGGGAGGTTTTAACGAGACTTGAGTTTGGATTTCCTAACACTAGTAATAACGGTGGAACTAATCATGGTAGATTCACCGGTGAGCAATATGAATATCTTTAATAGTGTATCTAAAGTAGAATTTCCTAAGTTTGTAGGGGAAGACTTTAAAAGGTGGGTGTTTAGGTGTGAAAAATTCTTTATGTATGACGAACGCCCGAGGAAGCTAAAGTGACTATAGCAGCTATTAACTTGAAGGATGAGGCATTGGAATGGCACCAGGTGTATGTTCACATGCATGTATATATAGTCCGATTAAATGGAGTGACTATGTTAGAGTCTATGAGAATAAGATTTGGAAATATGATATCCGGGGATTCGAGGGTGGAACCGATGGGGTTAGGGTAGGAGACCGATGTGCAAACCTATTTGAAGAGGTTTATTTTAGTGGTTAACAAGGTAGTACTACTCGAGGACTACATCATTAGTTGCTTTATAGGAGGGTTGAGGCTCGAATTACAAGTCTCGATCGGGGTCATGAAACTAACCAACTTGAAGGAAGTCAGTTTCCTTAGCTAACTTGTAAGAAACCAATCTAATTAACCATTACCAAATCAACGATTTCCTTCCAAATTCACTCCTTCCTTTAACCCAAGAACCAACTAAAATACCTACCAAAACAACCGTAAATCTAACCACAATTAAACTACTAGAAATGACGACCATGTTCCATCATAAAATCCGATCCCTTACCGAAGCCATAAATGAACAACCAAAAAGGTCTACTATCTTTACCACCATAATTTCAAAATGGAAACTCAATGTCTAAAACAAGGAAGCTACCTTTTAATCATGAAGCTGGATGAGAGAAGGTTAAAGGGGTTATGCTATTATTATGAGGATAAATACTCACTGGGTAACATATGTAAGGGTAAACAATTGTTCGTGTTGGAGATTGAAGTCGATGAGGAAATAGAAGCTTGTGGAGAGTTTGGGGTTGAAGGCAATAGTAGTGAAAAGAATGCTAGCACCGACGGTTCCAATCTAGAGTTATATTAGATCTCAACCTATGCTGTATTGGGGGTGAACACTACCAAACAATGAAGGTAGTGGGTACTATGGGGGGAACAAGAGTCACCGTGCTCATTGACACTAGCAAGTACATATAATTTTGTGGACTTGGGGTTTTCCAAAAAGAATAACCGTGAGTTAGTAAAGATTCACCCTATCACAATAAAGGTGGCTTATGGGGGAGATGTGATTTGTGAATACATATGTAAGAATTTATAGTCGAGGATGCAAAGGATAAAATTTAAAACTAATGTATTTGTGATGTAATTAAAGGTATATGAAGTGATTTTAGGAATAGCTTGGTTATATAAATTAGGAGATATCACATGAAACTTTAGAGACATGTGGATGAGGTTTATGGTTGGGGGAGAAATATTTAACTTAAAGAGGAGAAAGGCTAAACCGATCAAAAGTAAGGAAGAATTGGAGTTTGATAGGGGTATCTGTCAACAGCGAAGAATCGAATTGGGCACGAGTGAACCAAATGCCGTAGGAGGAGGGGGCTAAAGAGATGATTGTGGTAGAAGCTATTGACTAGGTGCCAAAAGTACTAAGGACCTTATTGGAAATATTTGTAGAGGTGTTTGAGGAGCCTCGAGGGTTACCTCCTCATAGATTGCATGATCATAGGATTGTGTTGAAGGAAGGAGCCGAGCTCGTGAACAAAAAACCCTACAAATATCATGTTGTTCAAAAAAATGAAATTGAGGGACAAGTGTAACAAATAATGGATGGGGGAATAGTTAGAATCAATGTCGGTGCCTTCTCCTCATCGGTGGTTATGGTTAAGAAAAAGGATAATTCTTAGAGGCTATGTATTGATTATAGGATGCTCAATAACCTTACTATGAAGGCCACTTTCCAATTCCCATAATTCAAGAACTATTGGATGAACTACATGGTTCTATGATATTTTCAAAGCTTGATCTAAGGGCTGCTTACCACCGCATTAGAATGCATGATATTGATATTCCTAAGATAGCTTTTCGTACCCATAGTGGTCATTATGAATATATGGTTATTGTAACCCCTGCAAAAATCTTTAATGAGACATATATATATATCGAAATATTCGTGTAAATGTACATTAAGTACGAGTGCAATTGTAGGTGTCCTTTCAACTATTTGGTGATGATGATTATTTAGCACTTATGTAGAAATTTTGGGGTACTTATGTGAGAATTTTAGGGTGAAGTTCAAATAAATTAATTAGTTACCACTCATTATGTATTAACTACTTGGGACAACTATACAAGTGAAATAGGAGTGTGTATAAAATTTTAGGAATGTAGAAATATTTCCTTGGAAATATCATAATGAAAGGGAAAGGAACTGTCGAGTTTAGAGGAGGAATTTCTAAAAAATTCATGAAGGAAACTATGTTAGTTACTTGAAACTAAGTTAGTTAGGGTCTTTAGTTAGTCTAACCAATTAGTTAGGACATATAAGCCCCATTAATTAATGAATTATGGCCAATCGACCCTAAACCAATCAAACCTCGCCACTCTCTCTCTCTTGACTCACCAATTACTTTCCACTCTCCCAAATTAAATTAAGACATTTATACATTTAATTAGTACTAAGATTTTAAGCATGTATATAGATATAGAATAAGTGAAAGTGGTAAACAATTTTAGGCATCCTATAGCAAAAAGAGAGAGAAAATGGAAAAGAAAGAGAGAAAAGAGAGGAAGGAAAGAAAGAAGAAAAAGGAAGGAAAAGCTAAGGAAAAAGCCTAATCAAGTCTATCTAAGTAAGTGGGTTACCTTTTACTTATTTATACCATTTATTTAATCTTTATGCAATTGACTAAACATGTGTTTAGGTGGTGATATGTTGTTGTGATTGGTTGTGTTGATTGATTTGCTTTGCAATTGTTATTGGTATGGTTGGTTATATTGATTGGTTGTGTTGGTTGCTTCCTAAAAGTTAGAAAGCCTTATATATGGTTAAATTCATGTTTGGGGGATGTGAATGATGGAATTGGGTTACACAAAACATGGTGGATAAATTTGAGACTTGTATAGACTTGAATAAAATGGAGTAGGAAGAAAAGAAAAATGAAATTTTAGGGTTCTTCTTGAGTAAACTTTCGGGACGAGAGAGTTACATAGCCTCCTACACGGGTGTGTCCTTGCCCATGTAATGAATAAATGTGTTTTTCTTCAAGTTAGAGTGTTAAACGGCCTCCGACATGGGTGTGTCCTTGCCCGTGTAATGAAGAAATGTGTTTTTCTTAAAGTTAGAGAGTTACACGACCACCCACATGGGTGTGTCCTTTCCCGTGCAATGAAGAAATGTGTTTTTTTTCAAGTCGAGAGTTACACGGCCTCCCGCACGAGCATGTCCTTACCTGTGTAATGAAGAAAGGTGTTTTTCTTTAGTCAAACAATTACACGACCCCCCACACGAGCGTGTCTTTGCCGAGTGTAATGCACTAATCATTCAAAATTCATCACTTTTACTTCTTACTTGGTGTCCGTTCC